AGCTTTTAGCATGAATTTTGAATTTTATCAAAGGTCTTTTCTGCATCTGTGGAGATAATCATGTGATTCTTGACCTTGGCTCTGCCTATGTGTTGGATTACATTTATTGACTTACGTATGTTAAACCATTCCTGCATCTCTCTGGGATGAAGCCTACCTGGTCGTAGTGTATGATTTTTTTTTAATGTGTTTCTGGATTCTGTTAGCTAGAATTTTGTTAAGGATCTTTGCATCTGTGTTCATCAAGGAAACTGGCCTGTAATTCTCTTTTTTGGTTGGGTCTTTGCCTGGTTTGGGGATGAGTGTGATATTTGCATCATAGAATGAGTTTGGGATAGCTCCCTCCTTCTCTGTTTCTCTGAAGAGCTTGAGGAGTACTTTCCAGGCTTAAAAAAAATTTTTTTTTATCAATCCTGGGGCTTGAACTCTGGATTGGGCACTGTGCGAGCTTTTCTTCTCAAGGCTAGTGCTCTACTACTTTGAGCCACAGCTCACTTCCAGTTTTCTGGTGGTGAATCAGGGATAAGAGTCTCATGGACATTCCTGTCCAGGCTGGCTTCAAACCTTGATCTTCAGATCTCAGCCTTCTGAGAGACCTGAGCCACCAGTGCCCAGAAAGAGGATTTTTAAAATAAATGATGTCAGCTAAACTTTCCTCATTCACTTCTCAATCCCATATCCCCTTCCCATTATCATAAGAACACCACTTTGGATGGAATAGAAAGAAGAAAGCAGAATGGAACAGGTAAAAAGGCTAAAGAATAGAAAGGATGTGGGGAGGGAGGTTAGGAAGGTGGGGAGGAAAGGGATAGTAGGAGAAAAACAAAGGAGGGGGTAACAATGTAGGAAATGTACTCATTACCTTATTCATGTAACTGTAACCCCTCTGTACAGTATCTTTACAATTAAAAAAATTTAAAAAAAATAGAAAGGATGGGTCTGGGAAGGTGGCTCGGTGGTAGAGTGCTTGCCTTGCATGCATGAGGCCCTGGGTTCCGTTCCTCAGCACCACATAAGCAGAAAAAGCTGGAAGTGGTGCTGTGGCTCAAGTAGTAGAGCCTTAGCCTTGACCTGAAGAGCCTGAGGAACAGCGCCCAGGCCCAGAGTTCAGGCCCCACGACTGACCAAAAAAAAAAGAAAGGTATGACAGCATGGGTCAGGCTGGAAGGGCATATAAACCTACAAATGGTTTGTGTTAGAGAAATAACAGTTCTTATTTAAATTGTATTGGAATGATCTAATATAGATCAATGATCTAAGTGACAAAAAAGAAATATTTTTTAGAAGTTAAAAAAAAAATGGAGGCTGGGTGCCAGTGGATCACACCTGTAATCCTAACTACTTAGGAGGCTGAGATCTCAGGGTTGCAGTTCAAAGCCAGCCTGGGAAAGAAAGAAACTCTTATCCCCAATAAACCACCAGAAAATTGAAAGTGGTGCTGTGGCTCATGTGGTAGAGTACTCACCTTGAGCTGAAGAGCTGAGGGACAGGGCTCAGGCCCAGAGTTCAAGCCACATGACTGACAAAAAAAAATAATAATGATAAATCTATTGATAATTAATTAGATCTTCTTTCAAAAACATTGTTGCATCTAATTTGCAAAAGAATATACCACCACCAATGGGGCTGGGAAAGTGGCTCAGTGGTAGAGCGCTTGCCTTGCATGCATGAGGCCCTGGGTTCAATTCCTCAGCATCACATATGCAGAAAAAAAAAGCCGGAAGTGGCGCTGTGGCTCAAGTGGTAGAGCACTAGCCTTGAGCTAAAGAGTTGAGGGACAGCGCCCAGGCCCAGAGTTTAGGCCCCACGACAGGACCCAAAAAAAAATAAAAAGATTATGCCACCTGTTTGGTTATACTTGTTCTCAACTGCTGGCATGTATACCACACAAACCACTTATTAACTGTATCTCAGACTTTCCCAGTTGCCTTACAAGTATCCTGCATAAGTTAAATCCCTCAAAAGTACTAAAAAAAATTTTTATCAATATACTATGCTTTTTTTTTTTTTTTTGTCAGTCATGGGGCCTGAACTCTGGGCCTGGGCGCTGTCCCTCAGCTCTTCAGCTCAAGGTAAGCGTTCTACTACTCGAGCCACAGAGGCACTTTCAGCTTTTTCTGCTTATGTGGCACTGAGGAATCAAACCCAGGGCCTCATGCATGCAAAGCAAGCACTCTACCACCCAGCTACCTACCCAGCCCTATACTATGCTTTGATAAAATCCAGTTATTTATCATCTGCCTTAAGTACAGTTTAATTATTTAACAGTTGGTTTTCCTTTACTTTATGGAAAGGTTTTATGTATTATCTCATTAGCCACATTTTGACTCAACTAAATCATACTTTCAGAAAAGACTTCATTTTGGAGAGTGTTTTCAAATTCGTGAACTTACGCAATGCAACGCTCATGTTCCTAATTTGATGTGTTTTGACAAGTGTACACAGCTGTGTTAACAATCACAGTCAGCATTTCTATCACTAAGGAAAGTTCCCTTGTGTTTGTATTCACCTCCTCCCCTCCCCTTCACTGCCAATGCTTCCTCACAGTACAGATCAGTTGTTTTGCCTGTTCTAAAATTTCATACACTGGGCTGAGAATGTAGCTTAGTGGTAGAGAACTTGCCTAGCATGCATGAAACCTTGGGTTTGATTCCTCAGTACAACATAAACAGAAAGAGCTGAAAGTGGCACTGTGGCTCAAGTGGTAAAGCACTAGCCTTGAGCAAAAGCAGCCCAGGGATAGTGCTCAGGATCTGAGTTCAAGCCCTAAGACTGACAAAAAATAAAATTTCATGTACATTTTTGCTTGTTTTCCACCAAACATGTTTTTGAGACTCATCATGTTGCATGTGTAAGTAGATTTGTTGTTTTTGTTGTTGCATGTGACGGTACTAAGGCTTGAACTCCGGGCCTAGCACTGTCCCTTAGCTTTGTTCACTCAAAGTTGGTGCTCTGCCACTTGCATCACAGCTCCATTTGACTTTTTGCTAGCTAATTGGAGATGAGTCTTTCCTGCCCAGGTTGGCTTTGAATCTCAATCCTCACATCTCAGCCTCCCAAGTAGTTAGGATTATAGGTTTACAGAGCTAGTGGCATTTTTTTCCTCAACTCTAATTTAAAAATATTCTGAATTCTAAGACATAGAATGACATGTTATGACTTGTTATCTGGATGATTTCAACATTTTTTCTAGGTTCTCCTCAAATCCTCCCTTTAAAAGCACCATAATAAAATTAGGACTGAGCCAGGCACCGGTGGCTCACGCCTGTAATCCTAGCTACTTTGGAGGCTGAGATTTGAGGATCCCAGTTCAAAGCTAGCCAGGGTAGGAAAGTCCATGAGACTCTTATCTCCAATAAACCACCAGAAAACCAGATGTGGTGCTGTGTTTCAAGTGGCAGAGAGCTCACCTTGAGCTGAAGAGCTGAGGGACAGCACCCAGGCTGAGTTCAAGCCCCATGACCGACAAAAAAATAAATGAAATAAAATTAGGGCTGAAAAGGCATCATCTCCACCTCACATCATCTAAATTCAAAGTCCTTCCAAATTATACCAACTATCTCCTTTAAAAAAAAAATTGTGGGGTCAGGTGCGGGTGGCTCATGCCTGTAACCCTAGCTACTCAGGAGGCTGAGATCTGAGGATCACGGTTCAAAGCCAGCCCGGGCAGAAAAGTCCGTGAGACTCTTATCTCCAATTAACCACTAGAAAACTGGAAGTAGTGCTGTGGCTCAAGCAGTAGAGCCCTCGCCTTGAGCTGAAGAACGCAGGGATAGCGCCCAAGCCCAGAGTTCAAGTCCCACAATGGACAAAAATAATAAATAAATAAAATTTTGAGGGCTGGGAATGTGGCTTAGTGGTAGAATGCTTGCCTAGCATGCATGAAACCCTGGGTTCAATTCCTCAGTACCACATACACAGAAAAAGCCAGAAGTGGCAGTGTGGCTCAAGTGGTAGAGTCTGCTAGCCTTGAGCAAAAGAAGCCAGGGCAGTGCCCAGGCCCTGAGTTCAAGCCCTAGGACTGACACACACAGACACAATTGTGAAGATTTTATTTACAAAGTTTTAAAAACAAATACCATTTTCAACTAATGTGCTTTGTTTTAAAAGGACCACCTATACAACATAATATCATGAATAAAGAATGTACAAGGAGGGGCTGGGAATGTGGCTTAGTGATAAGAGTGCTCATGTTGAGCAAAACAAGCTCAGGGACAATGCCCAGACCCTGAGTTCAAGCCCTAGAACTGGCAAAAAAAAAAAAAAAAGTACAAGGAAAACAAACTAATTTTGCTAACATCTGGAGATTTGCTAACATTTCTGATTGCAGTGTAGAAAACACACATTATGGGCCTGGAAAGGTGGCTCAGTGGTAGAGTGCTTGCCTTGCATGCATGGGCCCTAGGTTCGATTCCTCAGCACCACATAAGCAGAAAAAGCTGGAAGTGGTGCTGTGGCTCAAGTGGTAGAGTGCTAGCCTTGAGCTGAAGAGCTGAGGGACAGCACCCAGGCCCAGAGTTCAGGCCCCATGACTGGCAAAAAAAAAAAGAAAACACACATTATGACTTGTAGTCCGTCACTTTAGGGTAGACTTAATGATTACCAAAGAGTCTTCCTACATATGCTGTGGCCTGTTCACATATTCTGCCCAATGATCTCATTTGTAATATCACATTATGCTTAGGGGAAAAAAAAAAAGCTCTGTAAGACAAAAAGCCATTGGGCACCAATGGGTACATTGTAATACTAGCTACTTAGAAAGCTATGATCTGAGGATCCCTGAGTCCAAAACTTGGATGCCAGTCTGGACAACAGTGAGTCCCTATCCCTTTTTTTTTCTTTAAAGAAAAAGATGATCCCTGGTGCTCATTTTGATGTATGGTTAAAAGATTAGGAGCCTAAGGTAGGACTGCTAGAGCAGAGCCTTAAGGTTAGTTTTCTTCCTAAAGAGCTCTCCTGTCTCCTTCCATCCTCTAATAACCAAAGGTCAGCTCAACACATTTCCTTTAAAAGTTTTATTAAAGTTTAATGGTACAATTAATAGTTTATCTTTTATATTTGTTAACCCCAATATAAAAATACAGTTGATGACTTGACAAAAATGTCTCCATATAGGGCTCAAAGGCTTGAGTTTCTCCAACAATAACAGAGAAAGCATGCTTCCAGCTGGAACTGAGTCCAAGCACATGGCCATTCCTGTACATACATGTGTGCAAACAGGGAAGCCAGAGCAGGATAAGAGGAAGGTAGTTGCAGAGATTTAACATTATTCCCAGTAGAAATGGGGAAAAAAACCAGCTAGTCTCCTTGATAGGGAGCAGAATTACTGATTTACATTTAGAATTTGCTGTTTTCTTAAAAATTGATGTTAATTCCCATGAACTGGACACTGTAGAAAAGCTGCTACTGGTCTTCTTTTCACCACCAAGGTAATTCAAGTGGAAGGAAATGGATAAAGGCTCAAATTCTGATGTGTGAGAAGTGGCTCAAGATTTGTGTCAATAGGTTTCATTCTTCATATTCAGAGGCAAATAGATATTTAGCTGATAGAAAGCAGGAAAAGGAAATCTGTCTCAAGTACTATTTCCACAAAACACAGACTAGCTTCTGTTAGCAGTCTTCTTCCAGGTAAGATAGCTCCTTCCAGTGTAGGGTGAAGTAAGGTTTCCTAGTCAGTTTAATTGTTTTGGGTGATTCCTCAATTATTTCCTCTGCCTCCACTTTCCTTCAGAATACCAACTTTGCCACAAGAAGGGATTATATGTTCATATTACAACTCATCTTCAAAATGTTTCTCTCTGAAGGCATCACCAGTCAGTCTTTCCTGAGCTTCCTTCATCCCCTGAACAACTATGAAGGGAAGGAGAGAAAAGCATGAAACAGAGTTTAATACATAACATTTGAGAACAAGTGTATACTCTAAAAGTGTATTCTATATGAGAAGAGCACAAGATCTAGCTAGACTCAAAATTGACTTCTAGATTTTAGCCCTTACTTACTTTACATATGATAATCATAAAAATTAGAGAATGGATAGACATGTTCAGAAATTATGCATGCTCAAGGCCCTTCCTCAGCACCACATAAGCAAAAAGAAAAAAGCTGGAAGTGGCGCTGTGGCTCAAGTGGTAGAGCGCTAGCCTTGAGCTGAAGAGCTGAGAGACAGCACCCAGACCCAGAGTTCAGGCCCCACAAACGGACTGCCCCCCCCCCCAAAAAAAGAATGAAATTATGAAGACCTACAAAATGTAGTAGTTATTTTGAAGACCTACAAAATGTAGTAGTTATTTTGACTGATCCTCTAGGATTGAAGCTGCTCTCTTGTCAGACTGTTCATGTTCATTAGTCAATAAGAGAAAACACCTTCCTACCATTCCCATTATGCCTTCTTGATGACTATTGCATTTATTTTATTTCCTGCCAAGGTTACAGGTGACATGTGCATACTGGGAGGGGAAATGGTTTCCTCTAAAGGGCACAGATATTTCTATTATTAACTATAATGGAAGAAGTCACTTTTTTAGGCCATAAAATAGGAAAACCTAAGCGGAGGAACCTAGGCAGACAAGAAATTAAATTTCCTGCAAATCTCTGGGCATCCCTCTTAGGGATCTGCATTTCAAGGAGGAAAGCTACTTTTGTAAAGGCCCATGGAGTGGTGGTACTACAATGGCAGAGGAAGCTAGGTGGAGGCCTGATTGTGAATCTTGAACAAGTCCATAAGCCCAAGAGTCAGATAATATAGCTTAGTTTCATCTTTCCATTTTCTCTTGCCTACCCTGTGGTAAAGCCAGATTTGGATGTTCCAGTTTCATGTTAGCTGAGCCATGGCGAGCATAGTGAAGAGCCTGGATTATGCCAGTATGGAAATGGCAGTACAAACATTAACATTCTAAAGGGAAGATGAATCTTGAGGATCTAATGTCCAGTTGCCCTTCTTGATGCAGAAAAATCCTCCTTTTCCAAGGATCAGCATTTGATCATGGGAGATGTTTGTGTCTTTACCCAGATAGGAGACAGTATTTCTAGATCTCTTCTTCTTCTTCCCTATTTTGAGAATAGGAGCTTTAAAGTGATCAATGACCTGGCAATCTTGTAATAGGGGACACATGATAACTTAGCAAACATCTCCTTTTCATAAATTAGAAAAAGAAAACAATATAGGACATAAATGTCAACCTTTATCTCTTATCTCTAGGATGCTTGTGTTCCAGGAATACAAAGAACACTAACAACAAAGCCTAGGTGACATGATCTCACTTGTCTTTGCTGGATGCCCTTTCTCTGGTAGCTAATTAGGTCTCATTCTTCAAAACCCAATCCACTCATACATTGCTCTAGCAAGCCTTACAGAATCTCCATGTTGGGCTGTATACTCCCATCTCTCACTTCTATAGTTTGAGACATCCTCATGTCTTCCCATAGGCAATTTTTTTTTTGGGGGGGGAGGGGGGGAGTCAGTCACGGGACTTGAACTCTGGGCCTGAGCGCTGTCCCTCAGCAATTCAGCTCAAGGCTAGCTAGCACTCTACCACTTAAGCCACAGTGCCACTTGGGTTTTCTGAGAAGTTTACTGGAAGAGTCTCACGGACTTTCCTGCCAGGGCTGGCAGGATCTCAGCCTCCTGAATAGGTAGGATTACAGGCATGAGTCACGAGCACCCAGCCCATAGGCAAATACTTATACTTCTAAGTCTAGTTAAAGTTTAATATCTGAGCTGGAAAGGTAGCTCAGTGGTAGAGCGCTTGCCTTGCATGCCTGAGGCCCTGGGTTCGATTCCTCAGCACCACATAAGCAAGAAGAAAAAAAAGCCGGAAGTGGCGCTGTGGCTCAAGTGGTAGAGCTCTAGCCTTGAGCTGAAGAGCTGAGGGACAGCGCCCAGGCCCAGAGTTCAGGCCCCACGACCAGACCAAAAAAAAAAAAAAAAAAAGGTTTAATATCTGAGCTGATGCCAGTGGCTCACGACTGTAATCCTAGCTACTCAGGAGACTGAGATCTGAGGATTGGTTCAAAGCCAGGTTCCAAGCCAGCCCAAAACTCCGTGAGACTCTTATCTCCAATAAACCACTCAGAAAACTGGAAGTGGCACTGTGACTCACATAGTAGAGTGCTGGCCTTGAGCTGAAGAGCTGAGGGACAGTGCCCCAGGCCCAGAGTCCAAGCCCCATGACCAGTGAGGGGGGGAGGGAAGTATAATATCTGAAAGTTTAGCATCTTCTTAGACTTGATCTAATAGTTTGCATTCCCCTCACTCTGGATTCTTATGGAAAAATAACAGGTACAATGAAGAAAAACAAAACAAAACCTCTATGACTTGAAATGATGGGAAGTTCAATGATGGGTCTTTTTTTTTTTTTTTTTTTGGTAGGTCGTGGGGCTTGAACTCTGGCCTTGGACGCTATCCTTCAGCTCAAGGTGAGCACTCAACCGCTTGAGCCACAGCGCCACTTCTGGTTTTCTAATGGTTTCTTGGTTGTAAGAGTGTCACGGACTTTCCAGCCCTGGCTGGCTGTGAATACTGATCCTTAGATCTCAGCCTCCAGAGTAGCTAGGATTACAGGCAAGAGCCATAGGCACCAGCAATGACTTTGATGAGTCAATTACCTCTTGCACTGGATTCTAGACTAGGGAAGGACTCAGTTTTATCTTTCCCTTGTCTCCCAGGTAGGAATTTCGCTAAAAGCTTATCAAGAGAGGTTAGATTAGAAAAGATAGATTAAATTCCTATCACAGACTTTAACTCTGGTTTATCTAGTTAAACTTAGCAACAATCCTCCCCCTGTCTCTCAGAACTGTACCTTGCTCAGCACTGACGTAGAAATACTTGTAGCTGGGGTTTCCACTTTCATTGATGATTTCAGGATGCACCTTGCCACTGGGATCTGTTGTGGACAAAATGGCAGAAGGATTGCAGTAATTAAAACAAAAGTATGTCACAAACCATATGGTGGGAAATAAAACCTTCTCACCTTTGTAGGCCATTATCCCCCGCCCCAATACTGTCTACATTTCATACTATAATCACAATAAATTCCTCATACTTCTCTAAACTTAGCATACCAACCCTACACCATGGCACGTTATTTCTTCTTTCTGACATACTCCTTTTCAGCTTGATTATGATGAGATTTTTATTTGCACACTCCACAGAATCTAGCTGAATGTTGAGCAAAGACTTAGCTGGTCATTAATAATCTTTTTAAATTATTTGTGGAAATACATCTATCCATTTACTCAGTTGCACTATCAAAGTCAGATGGAAATTGGTGATCTCTATCCCTGCAGTGTCTAGCCTGACATATGGATGATGTTCAAATGATTGACTGAATGAATAAATGGCTGGCTGAATGAATAATAATGGAATAATAAATAAATGGAATAAATGGAAGTCAAATGCTTGTCATTGCTTATAAAGGCAGTTAATAGGAAACGTTCTATAAGCTTATACTTCTGTATATTCTCTCTCTCTCTCTTTCATGCAGTGCTAGTTTGCTCTGAACTTGCCATTCCTCCCTCAGCCTTCTGAGTACTAATTGTGAGTACTATATATTCAGTCCCCTACTCACTTTTATCCTCCCTTTTCTTTTGAAAAAAAATATTTTTTTGCATCTCAGAATAGTTTCACTAGGTAGAATCAGTGCTTGTTTCATTTCTCATTTAGTCTTCTTTAACTATCCTCAGATAAGACCTTTGCCTTACCTAAGAAAAGGATTCGTGGAATATAACCCCCATCAGGACTGAAATCTTCATCTTTGGGTTCCTCTTCATCCTATTAAGATTAAATGTTAACCTTACATAAGATATATCTTCCCATTCCACAAAGCCTTTCAGTGGATTCCCCACTTTGCTCGGACCTACAAGGTCCTACACGATCCACTCCCCATAGTACTTGTCAAATTTCATGTTGTACCTGGCTCAGTCCTCCATAACCACATTAATCTGTTTACTGTGGCTGTTATTTAACAAATCCGATGTGCTCCTAATTCAGGCTTGTGGACTTGCTCTTACCCGCTGCTTGGACATATCCCTCTGTCATCCCCATGGCTCACTCCCTTTGTCTGCCTCAGATCTTTTCTCAAAAGTTACCTTCTTATGTAACCACCTACTTATTAAAACTACAAGCCATCTTCTCTACCCTTTATTTTTAGCATTTCTAGCACTAACTACCACCTGACATATTTTGTCATTACACATTACAATTGTTATTGCAATGAGAAAATTTTGCTTTGTTCAATGCTGTACTCCCAGTACACCTCTGACAGGCATGCACTCTCTTGAATTTATAAATTTGTGAGATTGACATTTCAATTATAACTATGGAGTAAGTCTTCTCAGAAAATAGAACCACACAATGTATTCATTACTTATTTATTAGGTACCGGGGATTGAACAAAGGCCCTTGTACATACTAGGCAAATGTTCTACTTCTGATTTTTTTTTCTTCTGAGACAGAGTCTTGATGGCCAGCTCAAGCTGGCCTTGAACTTAATAATCTTCCTGCCTTTGCTTCCCAGTGTTAAGATTATAGGTGTGGGCCACACCACCCAGCTACTTTTTTCTTTTTTAAAAAAAGAAATCGCTAAGCCTTTGCTGGCTGAGAGTGGGTCATGCTTGTAATCCTAGCTACTCAGAAGGCTGAGATCTGAGCATCAGTTCCAAGCCGGTCAGGTCAGAAGAAAAATCCCCTATAAGACTCTTATCTCCAATTAACAACTCCTCCTCCCCTCAAAAACAGAAAGTAGAGCTGTGGCCCAAAGAGGTAGAGCTTTAGTCCAGAGAAAAAGAGCTCAGGGACAGTGCCCAGGCCCCATGACCAACCAAAAAACAACAACAAAAAAAGAAATCTCAGAGCCAAGCACCAGTTACTCACACCTGTAATCCTAGAGACTCAGGAGGCTGAGAACTGAGGATCATGGTTCAAAGTCAGCCTGGACAGGAAAAGTCGTGAGACTCTTATCTCCAATAAACCACCAGAAAACCAAAGTGGCGCTGTGGTAGTGCCCTCGCCTTGAACTGAAGAGCTGAGGGACAGCGCCAAGGTCCAGAGTTCAAGCCCCAAGGCTGACAAAAGGAAAAAAAAAAAAAAGAAATCTCTGAAGTCTATACCTGTAATCCTAGCTACTCCCCGGAGGCTGAGATCTAGAAAAATCAAGGTTTAAAGCCAGCCTGGGGAGGTAAGACTGAGATTCTTTAACTCCTCTTAACCAGCCAAAAGTGGTAAGTAGAGATGTGGTTTCATTGAAGACACTCTATCTTTACTGAATAATGGCCTTAATTTATCACAGAAAGTGGAGAGTTTATTTGCATGGAAAATCACTACTAGTGTGGTTTTCATTTGGGGGATTTAAATGGGGTCATTTATTCAAATGTAATATAAATACCAGCTCTGATAAAAATTCATCAGCATTAGGCTATCCACTAACTAACAATACAGGCAACTTCTTTGTTGCCTCAATATTAACTGTTAGTGTGTTCAGAAATTCTTGATCTTTTGATTAAGTAAACATTGTTTAGAGAACACTTCTGTACATTTCTTCTTTTTTTTTTTTGTCAGTTGTGGGGCTTGAACTCTGGGCTTGGGCTCTGTCCCTCAGCTCTTCAGCTCAAGGCGAGCGCTCTACTGCTTGAGCCACAGCACCACTTTCTAGAGAACACTTCTGGCTAGAAGCATCATCATGGAATATCCACACAGCTAGGCCATAGTACCTATTCTCACTAGGCTCTATGACTTTGATCAAACAATATATCTCCTTTAGGTTTAAGATATTCTTTCTAAACCAGGTGCTGGTGGCTCACGCCTGTAATCCTAGCTACTCTAGAGGCTTGAGATCTGAGGATCATGGTTCAAAGCCAGTACAGGCAGGAAAGGCTGTGAGACTCTTATCTCCAATTAACCACCAGAAAACTGGAAGTGGCGCTGTGGCTCAAGTGGTAGAGCACTTCCCTTGAGCTGAAGAGCTCAGGGACAGCACCCAGGCCCAGAGTTCAAGCCCTTCAACTGGAAAAAAAAAAAAAAAGATATTCTTTCTATAAAGTGGAGGTAGTATCAGTAGACTAAAAATCCCTTCCAAGTCTAAGATCAGATATTCTGACTCAAGATTCCAACAGTTGAAGTCTATTAATATGAATTTCATAAAAGATGTCTTATGAGAAAACAGAAAGGTTGTCTATATAAGCCTACTACAGGGTAGGTGCTCGACTCAATCATAGTTTGCAGGGAGATGTAGACTTCATGTATGAGTCTATCTTAGAACAGCTATACAAAGACACAAAACTAAGAATGAAAGAATCTTAAAATATAGTTATCTTAGTTGAGTTCTCCTTTACTACTCCTTTCCAGAGTAGATATTAGATTGTTTCCTAACACATCTTTTCTTTTTTTTCGGGGGGGGGGGGGGGGGAGAGTATGGTCATGGGGCCTGAACTCTGGGCCTAGGCGCTATCCCTCAGCTCTTCAGCTCAAGGCTAGCACTCTACCACTTGAGCCACAGCGCCACTTCCGGCTTTTTTCTTTTTGCTTATGTGGTGCTGCATGCAAGACAAGTGCTCTACCACTAAGCCACCTTCCCAGCCCTCCTAAAACATCTTATATAAACATATAAATTGCTTGCTTAATATAATTCTATACCATGGAAACTATTAAAATAATAGCATAAAGCAAGGAACTCTTCAAGTCTTACCTCCAGATTTACCATAACAAAATTATGAGAAAGTTCTGAAATTTCTGTAGATTCTGCAAATTTGGGTTTTAATGCTGGGGGATGAAAAGAAAAGAATGTTGAAATAGAAGAAAACAGAAAAAACATAATCATACTAATTAACTGTAGTAGTTCAGATATTTCCCAAACTGATTCTTGTAACTGAAGCTTTTTTAACTAAAATTAAGCCAGGTACCAGTGGTTCATGCCTGTGATCCTAGCTGCTCAAGAGGATGAGATCTGAAACTCAGTTGGAAGCCAGCCAAGGCAGGAAAGAATTTGAGAGTCTTATCTCCAATTAACCACCAAATAGCCAGAAATAGAGCAATGGCTCAAGAGGTAGAGTGCTAGCCTAGAGCACAAAAGCTCAGGGAGAGTGCCCAGTCCCTGAGTTCTAGCTCTGGAATTGGCACATACACACAAAAATCAAAATAAAATTGGAGCTGGGTACTGATAGCTCATGCCTATACACCTAGCCACTCAGGAGGCTAAGATCTGAGGTTTTCAGTTCAAAGCTAGCCCCAGAAGAAAAGTCTTTGGAGACTATCATCTCCAATTAAACAGCAAAGAGCTAGAAATGGAGGTGTGGGTTGAGTGGTAGAGTGCCAGCCTTAAGCAAAAAAGAGGAGAGCACAAGACCCTCAGTTCAAGTCCCAATAACTGCACAAAACTAATTTTTAGAAAACTAGACTTCACATGTTTCACATTCAATAATTTCTAGCTTTTCTTAGTTGTGGAAAATTAACCACATAATTACCTTTCAAATATAGGTGGAGGGCTGGGAATGTGGCTTAGTGGTAGAGTGCTTGCCTAGCATGCATATAGCCCTTAGTTCGATTCCTCAGTACCACATAAACAAACAAAGCAGGAAGTGGCACTGTGGCTCCAGTGGTAGAGTGACAGCCTTGAGCAAAAAGCTCAGGGACAGTGCCCAGTCCTTGAGTTAAAGCCCCTGGGCTGGCAAAAAATAAAAATAAATAAAAACCAGAATTGGGATACTTAGATTCTTGTCATAATTTGTATTTGCATAACTATATGAAGCTGTTATCTCACTTATAAAATAAGAAAAATGATATATAAGTGGGAAAAAAATTATCACTATTTGCTGTTTGCTGTTGTTGTTTAGTGGTACTTGAGCTAGAACTCAAGAACTCATATCTGGGGGCTTTATCACTAATGCCTTACCCAAACCCATTTTTGAGCTAAGTGCCTTACATTTTTGCCTGTAGCTTCAGACCTAGATCCTCCCAATCCTGGCTTCCCTAATCTCTGCCTCCAGCCTGCTATTGCTTGAGCCACATCTCCAGCCCCAGATGTTTGCTGCCTGAGCAAGCTTTGAGAACTGGGACCCTCAGATCTCAGCCTCCTGAGTAGCTAGGATTACAGGTGTGAGCCACTGGCGCCCAGCCTAATATGCTTTTTTAATGACATTTCAACTTCTATTTAAAGCTTGAATAACAAAATCATCACTACTCTACACACATACACACACATAAATACACACATTTTACTGTTGTTTCTTTTGAGATTGGGTAAATGTAGTCCCAGCTGACTTAACTTTTGTCCCTCCTGCATCAGGCTCCAAAATTCTGGGATTACAGGAATGTACCACTACATCTAGCTTTTATGTTCTTTTTCCAACCTGGATTTTGTTAAGTGTAACATACCATAGATAAATTCTACCCTGCTAGTAAGAAAGGAGCAGGACAGTATAGCAAAAGAATATACACCACAAAGTCAAATAATGTCAAATAATTTGGTCCCATTTCTAAAGATTCATCTAACTACTTTTGTCTCTGGCACAAGATTTCAGCTTCCTTTAAACTTATTGCCTATAAGACTTACTAAAATGCTTAATTTCATATTATACATAACTGTATTGTAAATCACCTTAACCTCCCTAAAGCCCTTTGAAAATATAGTTGCAAATTTCATGAAGGAAGAGAATGTTTGGCATAAATTTCTTTTGTGTTCCATAAAGCATTAGTAGTAGTGTGTCAGAATCAATTCTAACATTTATTTATTTATTTATTGTTGGTCATGGGCCTTGAAGTCTGGGCCTGTGTGCTGTCCCTCAGCTATTCAGCTCAAGGCTAGCACTCTACTACTTGAGCCAAGCGCCATTTCTGTGGTTTTCTAGTGGTTTAATTGGAGATTATAGACTCACAGACTAGGAAAGTCTGGCTTTGAATCTCGATCCTCAGATCTCAGCCTCCTGAGTAGCTAGGATTAACAGGCATGAGCCACCAGCTCCTGGCTTAATTCTAACATTTATTAAACATTAAATCTTTGACAATGTGTTTGAGGTGGGATCTTAGATTGAGCAATTGTTCTTACCTTTGCAAGCTCCACACCAGGACTTATGGATAATCACCATCAGAGGCAATCCACTTAAAAAGAATGAAATTATTATTCTAGCAATCTACTTCTTCAAAGCTATTCTAATAAAACTAGTTTTAAAAGAGTAACATACAAAAATGTTCCTATAGTGTGATATCAATTGGAAAATCAGAAGACAATCTAAATATTCAATAACAATAGATTATGATCAGAAGAAAATGAGGGTAAGGTCTGGGACTGTGCCTTACTGGTAGAGTACTTGCCTAGCATGCATGAAGCACAATAGCCAGGGTTCAATTCCTCAGTACCAAACAGAAAAAGCCAGAAGTGACGTTGTGGCTCAAGTGGTAGTGTTAGCCTTGAGCAAAAGAAGCTCAGGGACAGTGACCAATCTCCAAGTCCAAGCCCAGGACTGGCAAAAAATAATAATAAAAATAAAATAAAATTGAGGTAAATGCTAGTATTTCTGTAAAATCTGCAAATGTGGGCTTTAAAGCTAAGGAAAAAAGGCTGGCACTGGTGGCTCATGCCTGTAATCCTATTCAGGAGGCTGAGACCTGAGGGTCTTGGTTCAAACCCAGCCCAGGCAGGAAAGTTTAACCACTAAGGAAAAATGAAAAAAGCCAGAAGTAGATGGGGCTGGGAAGGTGGCTCAGTGGTAGAGCACTTGCCTTGCATGCCTGAGTCCTTGGGTTCGATTCCTCAGCACCACATAAGCAAAAAGAAAAAAGCCAGAAGTGGAGCTGTGGCTCAAGTGGTAGAGCACTAGCCTTGAGCTGAAGAGCTGAGGGACAGCGCCCAGGCCCAGAGTTCAGGCCCCACGACCAGAACCCCGCCCCCCCCCCCCCAAAAAAAAGCCTGAAGTAGAGGTGTGGCTCAAGTAATAGAGCATTAGTCTTGAGCAAAAAAGCTTTAGGGATAGACCCAGGCCCTGGGTTCTAAAAAAGCTAAGGAAAAATTGCAGAATAGCAATACCAAATTGCAATATTTTAAAACCATATTATATTTCTAAATGATTATATAATCATTGAAAACAATCTTTTAAAGTATGTTAAATAAAAAATATAGATATCTACAACCTGATTTAATTATACAATGTATAGAGAAGAGCCTAAAAGGAAACATACTAAAATATGATAGCAGTTATCTACAAATGATGAGACTAGATATTTCTCTACAATGACATATAATCAGGAAGGCAAAAGTACATCACATCATCCAACACCATATACCATATAACTAGCCATAATTGCACTTAGCATACTGAAGTGTATTTACGATTATGCACCTTCCTCCATTATATTTGAAACTTCTAAGACAAGGAACTGTCAACTGTCTCTGAATCCTATCTAGCAGATACTACTATCTAGCAATACTAATATTGCTAATGCCAAACACATATAGCATTTCCTAGATGTCAGTACAACTCTAATGAATTGACTCATGAATTAACATGAATTAACTCACTTAATGTCAAATTATTCAGCTACTTCACTTTAGGCCTATTACAAATTTGAAAAGAATTTTACCTGCAAAACCTGTAAAAGCTAGTAAACTACATGAGAAAGGCAAGTTAAGGTAGGTAGTGAGATCTAGGAAGTATAATAGCCAGTGTTGAACATTTATTATATGACATTGTAGCCAGGTGCTGGTGGCTCATGCTTGTAATCCTAGCTACTCAGGAGGCTGATATCTGAGAATCACGGTTCAAAGCCAGCCCGGGCAAGAAGGTCCGTGAGACTTTTATCTAGAAAAACAGAAGTGGAACTGTGGCTCAAGCAGTAGAGCACTAACCTTGAGCTAAAGAGTGCAAGGACAGCACCCAAGCCCATAGTTCAAGCCCCACCACCGACCAAAAAAAAAAAAAAGATATTGTACTATGTGATTTACATGCATTTGAACATTTTAAATCCTTGGAAAAAACTCCAGAACACATATTATTAGTGCTCTAATACTAGAAATTAAAAAAAAAAAAAAAAAAAAAGGTTTGAGGATGTAGCTCAGTGGTGAAGCACTTGCCCATCAGGTGCCAGGCCCTGGCTGAATCCCACAAAAAGGGGAAGAACAAAAGTGGGAGCCAAGACTACCAAGATTAGACATTGGGCCACATAAAAGTCTAGGCTCTGCTACTTACTCAGAAAGAAGTCTGACTTCAAAACCAATTTTCCTTCCAATCACTGAAGTGTATTCCAATTTAAACTGACAATCTAGAATCCACAGCCTTAAACTCAATTCAGCCAACATAGAATTAGAAAATGCAAGTTGATAAAAGAACTGTCCAAACAAGCTGATCCAAACTTCCATTTCATGAATCCTCTTTTGTATTCAAAAAATCAGAAACTAAAAGGTGGTACAGATTACCTGATGAGCAAGGAAGATACCATCAACCTTTTAGTTGCTCCATCTATCTTCAGAGCATACATTTTAGAATGGTGTGCTCCCTTTTCTCTTAGGCAAAACTCCGATTCATTGTTCTGGAACTGGATTACCAAACTAGTTCACTACCAAAATCAAGTCCACTGCCTGCTTCTGACTTTTAGACATTTAAACCCATTGTTGAAAAGCAAATCTGAAAATGTTCTGTGACATGTTTAATGTAATTCACATTTCAACATTTACAGTTTGTTTTTTTTTTTTATCCTGTCCTGAGGACAGTGAGGATCCAAATAGATATTCTTTTCTAAGACCTTTCCCTAGCCACTAGTCTCCTCTGGGATTCTATAGTATTCTGTCATTATCCTCTAGTCACTTGCCCCCTTTTGGGAGGGGAGCAGGGAGGTAACTTGAGTTTGAACTCAGGGCGGGCTTTGTCATTAGTCATATTTCAATTTTTTTTTGAGGGGGGGGTCACTCAGGGCCTAGATGTTGTCCTTGAGATTTTCTGCTCAAGGCTAGCACTCTACCACTTGAGCCACAGTGCCACTTCTGGCTTTTTCTTTTTATGTGGTACTGAGGAATGGAACCCAGGGCTTCATGCATGCTAGACAAGCACTCTACTACTAAGCCCATTCCTAGCCCTTAAGCTATTTCTTAAACCTGAGTTTAGTGTGCCTGGGACAAGCCTCAGATGACCATCCACTTCCTTGATCTTCAGAGTAACTGGCTTATTGTCATCTTACTTTTTGCCCAAACTGGTCAATAGCAATAGCAATCCTACTGATCTCCACAACCCACAGTACCAGGGATTACAGCTGTCACTGTGCCCTGCCTGTCTGATTATTTCTTACAAATAATCAAAGGCAAACACTAGTTTTTAAAATTACATGCACTGAGGCACTGGGAATGTGGCTTAGTGGTAGAGTGCTTGCCTAGCATGCATGAAGCCCTGGTTTCCATTCCTCAGTACCACATATACAGAATAAATTGGAAATGGCACTGTGGCTCAAGTGGTAGTTTTAGCCTTAAACAAAAAGAAGTTCAGAGACAGTGCCCAGGCCCTGAGTTAAGCCCCGAGACTGGCAAAAAAAAAAAAATTACAAGCACCGATAAGTAGTATATTATTCACCACTATTCAATGAGATCAACAGTGATTCACTTACAGTGATTTCCGCCTTGAAATATAGAATGAAGCATGGTAGTTATGAAAGTCGTTAAAGCATCATGCTAGGTCAAACCATCTAGTTCTTCCTGAACGCTACCATAATACTATCAATCAACTATGTAACAATGATACATATAGGGATAAAATGTTACATTAAGTCAAAGCCACCAGTAGCTCATGCCTGAATCCTACCTAAGATCTGAGGATCCTGGGTTGAAAGTAGCCTGGACAGGAAAAGTCTATGAGACCATCATCTCAGATAACCCATTTCCAGAAATGGAGGTGTGGCCCAAGTGGTACAGCTAGAGCCCTGGGTGAGAAAAGCTAAGGAACAGCTCCCAAGGCCTGAGTACCAGCAGTACCCCAGTACCAGCAGGAAAGGGGGTAAAAAGTTAAATTACAGGAACTCAAGTTCCATACTTTGAAAGAGATTGCAACAGACTCTACTTTTAAAATATTTTATTTGAGAAAATACTCTAGTGATTATGTCTTCCGCAAAAATTAAGTTTCCCAAAGACAGAAAACAGTGGATTTATCTGTTATCTTAATCACAGGATCCTCCACTCAAAAGCAGGCCTGTATGAAAATACATTTGTGGTATGAAAGGGCCAGTGTAGATACCCAACTGTGCCAACTTCAATTTTTGTTCACAAATTATTTTAGAGCAATTTTCACCTATCCAAATGGAAAATATTAAATGGTGTGTGAGCTCTCCTCTGGAAGAATCTGCCAAAATTCTTCAAGCTACTTTTCCCTTCTCTCCAGTCTCAACTTATGCTATAAATCCAGCTCTGGTATTACATCAATGTGGTCTTCAAACCTTCATACTCAGGCTTTCTGAAGTGCAATAGAAGTTAGGCAGAAGACAGGGCTTCCCTCTACCCCTCTGATCAGTGCAAACTCTGGCTCAGATACTGAAGAAACATATTGGCCAGTTGAGGCAGGTTCTCATGGTTGGGGTGCATTTTAGTATAGGAAATAAATTGGCGACGGAGGCGACTCAATTCTGCCATGGTCAGGGGCCTTGTAAATAACAGGTGCTCCGTGGTGCCAGGAAGTGTTAGCAAGTCCCCAGGAATGGCGCTCTTCTGAGCTTCCATCAATCCAGTCAACACTTGGTTCGTGACCTGATCCAACTGGTGGAGAAAGCTGCTGGAGGCCAGGGGCTGGGACTGTGTAGCTTGATGGGGTGGAGGAGCTCGGTTCTCAAACAGGGCAGACCGAATCTCCGCAAAGGGCAGCGGCTCTTCCAAGCCCACCATCGTAAACAAGGGCCGATCCCAGCGGTTCCGGGAATCTGGAGCCTCAAAGCGCAGCGTTAGCGCTTCCAGAAGTTCGGGAGAGAAAGCAGCATCGGACGCACAGTCCGCAGACTTCTTCTCTGAAGTCGCTCGAGCTGGAAAATCGGCCGCCTCCACTTCCCGGCAACCCAGTTCTCTCGGTACGTCGGCCCGGACTGCCCCATTTACTACCGACCCCGTTGCTACACCGGGGCCCGCCGCCGGGGGGTTCCCGCCCTCCTCCGCGCGCGGCCTCCAACTTACACGGACGTCCGGGGCTCGGCTCTCCGCCACGCCCGCCGCCTGGGGTCGCGGGCTCGGGCTGCCGGGCTGTACGCAGTAAATCAGGCAGAGAGGTGTGCGCGCCGCCCGCGCCAGGCAGTACAGTTCGTAGCGGAAACCCTTGATGTAGTTGAGCGAGTCCAGGATGACTACATCATGGCGACTCAGACGCCGCTCCACCGAGGCTCGTAGGGCCGCGCGCAGTGCCTTCTCCCGGGCAGAATCGCCGTACACGGTCGCATCCTCCGCGCCTAGCACCGAAGCGTCATCCACCACGTGCACCACGCGACCCTCGGCCTCCAGTGCCCCGCGCAGTTCTTCCGCACGCCGACTCTTGCCGCAGTACGGCAGCCCGCAAAACACCACCAGCGGCATTTCCCTTAGAAGCCGCCGCGCACAACCACGCGGCGCAGCTTCCGGGTCCACCACGCTTCCGGAATAAGCCGGAAGTTCAAACTCAACTTCCTGCTCCCGTAGATTCAGACGGGCGCTCGTGTTTCCATTGAATTCTCTAGGCCAAGTAGGACCAGGTCCAACCTTCTCAAAAAGGAGATGCAGAGCCTGGAATGGCACTTCAGGAAAATGTGATCTTGTGGGCAAAGATTATACCCATCCACCTATTAGTGAGCACCAAATACTGCAAAAGTACTAGCCACTATGAGTTTTTTGTTTTTGTCGGTCTTGGGGCTTGAACTCAAGGCCTGGGTTTCTTTTGCTCTACCACTTGAGCCACACCACCACTTCTGGCTTTTTCTGTTTGATACTGAGGAATCGAACCCAGGGCTTCATGTATGCTAGGCAGGCACCCTGCCCCTAAGCCACATACCCAGGTTAGCCACTCGCTATGTTTAGAATACAAGAGGAAATTGATAAATCTTTTGTTCTCCTTCCACGACCACTCTTACACCTCATGGCTCTCAGTTATGTTTTGTGTTTTTTTTTTTTTGGGGGGGGGGGGGGTTCCAGTCGTGAGGCCTGAACTCTGGGCCTGGGCGCTGTCCCTCAGCTCTTCAGCTCAAAGCTAGCGCTCTGCCACTTGAGTCACAGCGCCACTTTCTTTTTGCTTATGTGGTGGTGAGGAATCGAACCCAGGGCTTCATGCATGCAAGGCAAGCGCTCTACCACTGAGCCACCTTCCCAGCCCCGCAGTTTATTTTTTTTTTAAATAACCATTTCAGTCATTCAATATTGCCATGGTTGAGGATTCAGAGATTAACATAAAATAATTCCTTCACAGGAGTTGAAGGGTCTGAATAGGGAAAATCAGACACATACACTGTGAGTACTAAATGCTGTGATATGTTATAAAAGGAAAAAACAAACCTGGCTGGGTGCTGGTAATCCTAACTACTTAGGGGCCTGAGATCTGAGGACTGTGGTTCAAAGCCAGCCTGGGCAGAAAAATCATGAGACTCTTAATCTCCTTAATCACCGAAAAAAGCCAGAAGTGGAACTGTGGCTCAAGGGGGAAAATGCTAGACTTGAGCTTTTGCTCTTTTAAGCCCAGGGACAGTGCCCAGGCTCTAAGTCAAACTCCAGGAATGGCAAAAAAAAAAAAAAAAAAAAAAAAATTCCTGTCCTGAAAAATAATTGAAGACTTTAAGCTTAAGTAGGTATTTGAATTTGAACTTGAAAGACACAGGAATTTTTCTCTTTGGTAGGGGTCTATAATACAATACAGAATGCCCTGGTAAATTTGAATTTCAGATAAGCAATGTACTATATTGTTGCATAGATGTGATCAAAATGACTGAGAACTTAAGAGAAAAGCTAATTTTGCTTATGGTTTCAGAGATTTCAGTCCAGTGTCTTTGGCTCCATTGATTTTGGGTCCTTGGTGTAGTAGAGTATCATTCATTGCAAGAAACCAGAAGGAATGTGTCGATAGGGGAGAAGGGAGATAAAGGCCAACAACATGCTTCTAGCAACCTACTTCCTCTGGCTAGGTCCCACTTTCTAAAAACTCTGGGATCTCTCCAAATAGTTCCATAAGCTGCCAATGCACGAACCTTTTTGGAGAACAGTTTCTATCCAAATTGTATTAACAAAAAAAATTATAAAGCTATATAAGTATATCCCCAAATTGTACTGACATGTTAATTTTGTCTAAAATTTAGCTGAATCTCTTTTACTTTTGCTAAATCTGGCAACTGTACTACAGAAGGTTTGAGACCCAGAGCCATGAAACTAGGATCTGTTGTAGAAATAACAAGTGCTATAGTTTGGTAGGTGCAGAAGTGTGCATGTATTACAAGTATGTGTGTAATAGGAGTGCATACATTGAAGTAGAATAGGTCTTTGCATCTATTTCAGTACAGTACAATAGAAAAAAAAGTATACTTTTTTTTTTTTTTTAAATCTTGGCTCTGCTACTTACTAGTAATTTAACTACTAGAAACTTACTTCATTATAGTTCCAGTTTGGGGTCCGGTCGTGGGGCCTGAACTCTGGGCCTGGGCACCGCCCCTCAGCTCTTCAGCTCAAGGCTAGCGCTCTACCACTTGAGCCACAGCGCCAGTTCCGGCTTTTTTTCTTTTTGCTTATGTGGTGCTGGGGAATGAATCAAACCCAGGGCCTCATGCATGCAAGGCAAGCGCTCTACCACTGAGCCACCTTCCCCGCCCCGAGATTATTATTATTATTTTTTTTTAATCATGGCTGGCACTCTACCACTTGAGCTATACTTCCAGTCTAGCTTTATTTGCTGGTTAATTGGAGATAGTCTCTTGGACTTTTCTGCCCATGCTTGCATTGAACAAGAATCCTCAGATCTCAACTTCTTGAGTAAGTAGGATCCTAGGCATGAACCTAGGCATGAGCTCAGTTTCCTTTTATGAAAGGGTTATTTCGTACATGTACCAACTTCATAGGATGTTGTAAAAGATTAAATAAGCCAGAAGCCAGTGGCTCATGCCTGTAATCCTAGCTACTAAGGAAGCTGAGATCTGAGGATCACAGTTCAAAGCCAGCCGGGGAAGGAAAGTCCCTCAGACTCTCATCTCCAATTAACCAACAGAAAACCAGAAGTGGCACTGTGGCTCAAGTGATAGAGCGCTAGCCTTGAGCTGAAGAGCTGAGGGACAGTGTCCAGGCCCAGAGTTCAAGCCCCATGACTGACCAAAAAAAAAAGAGAGAGATTAAATAAGTCAATGCAGACAATAAGACAATCCTTATTAGCCTTTCCTCTCTTGTCCTTCCTTTCCCTCCTCTTGAGTCTAGTTGGCAGTATGCTATACTGATTGAGAGTGCCTGAGTCTTCTCTGCTCTGCTACTTACTAATTATTTAACTACTCGGTACACTAATTTTTCTCTATTTTTTCTTTTCCCTTGAGAAAGAGTCTTTCCCAAGCTGGCCTAGAACCTAGTATCCTAGCCTCCTAAAGGCAGAGATTACCACAGTCTGTGTTACCACAGTCCACTCTTAGTTTTCTCATCTATTAAAAGAAGGTAACAACAACTACCTCATACAGCTGTTGGGATAATTAAATGAATTAATAATTAATATAATTTAAACACTCAGTAAATGCTGGCTAATGTTACTTTTGGACAATTTTCTCTGTTTTGGCACAGGCCTTCACTTGAAATTAATGCTAAAAGTTGATGGCTAGAAAGTTTTGTTATAAATGATCTGAAGCTTATGTTTTGTACCTGGCAGCTGCTTCTCTCTTTCCATCTTCTAATGTCCTCCAGTGAATATGATCTCCAAAACCTGGAAAGAAAGAATCTTATAAACATTCATACAGGGCTGGGAAGGTGGCTCAGTGGTAGAGTGCTTGCCTTGCATGCATGAGGCCCTGGGTTTGATTCTTCAGCACCACATAAGCAGAAAAAATAAAAAAAAAAGCTGGAAGTGGTGCTGTCGCTCAAGTGGTAGATTGCTAGCCTTGAGCTGAAGAGCTCAGGGACAGCGCCCAGGCCCAGAGTTCAGGCCCCAAGACTGGACCCAAAAAAAATAAAAAAATAAAAAAACATTCATACAATGAACAAAGGACATAGACCCAGGAAAGAAGTGTAGCATGTTCTTAAGATATCCACACAAAAAAAAATACTTTTCTTTATAAAGAACCTAGTGTTCAAGACTTAAGATCCACTATTTTCTAGGCATATGTGGCAATAAAAGCTCCATACTCTAGAACTCACTTTTTCTGCCTATAAAATGGAAATAACACCACCTAGTTCATACTTCCTAGGGAGATAGTGTATCCAATACGATTATAAAATTGAAGGAGATTTTCTACAGAATAAAGCAGGCCATCACAAATCATATCAAATTGAAAGTGCTACAGAAATACAGCTTGAGAGTCAGACATGGGCCAATAACTCCACTTCCCCATTAAGTATGTGGATTTGTGTGTGTGAAACTTCAAGCTTACTTCAAGCCTCTATTTCTTCAACTGTAAAATCAAGATAGTAATACTTACCTCTGAATGTTGGTATTGATAAAAATTACTATTACTATCCTCACAATTCAGCCAATTTAATTGCTTTATTGCTGGCTAAGGAAATTTTCTGGGGCTTTCAAATGCCCTAAAGTAAAAGGTAGGGCTGGGAATGTGGCTTAATGGTAGAATGCTTGCCTAACATGCAGGAAGCCTTGGGTTCTATTCCTTAGTACCACATAAACAGAAAAAACCAGAAGTGGCACTGTGGCTCAAGTGATAGAGTACTATTCTTGAGCAAAAGAACAGGGACAGTGCCCAGGCCCTGAGTTCGAGTCCCAGGACTGTCACCAAAAAAACAAACAAACAAAAAAAAAGATAAAGGTCTAACTCTTGAAGCTGGGCTCCACAAAGACTTTAGGAATTATAGCACCTGAAGACTCTTACCTTTCTACCTGCCCTCATTTCCAACTCAATGTAAACCTAGAAGGTATTTCTTCTAATAAATCTCCCCTGATTCCCAAGCAGTTCTCTCTTGCTGCATCACAGCATTTCCCAAGCTGAACTGCAAATGTTTAGGTGTCCATCTCCCTCACTGCACATGGAATTTCTTAAGTACTAGACCATATGTGTCTCATTCCTTCCTGCTCTCCTCCATTCAGCTGTACACATAGCTGTAGTAAGTTCTCCCATGAAATAGTTTGGGGTTTTTTTCGGTCGGTTGTGGGGCTTGAACTCTGGGCTTGGGCACTGTACCTGCGCTCTTCAACTCAAGGCGAGTGCTCAACCAGTTGAGCCACAGCACCACTTCTGGTTTTCTAGTGGTTTATTGGAGATAAGAGTCTCACAGACTTTCCTTCTTGGGCTGGCTTTGAACCGTGATCCTCAGCCTCAGCCTCCTGAATAGCTAGGATTACAGGCGTGAGCCACTGGTGCCCGGCTTGAAATAGGTATTGTGTACATGAATCTTCTTTAGGCTACCTCAAAAAAAGTTTATATTTTATGTGTTTTCTTTTTTTTTTTTTTTTTGGTATTGGGGATCCAACCCAGGACATTGCACTTGCTAGGCAAGCGCTTTGCCACTGAGCTACATCCTAACCCAAAATTTTAAATTTTATAACTCTAAAATGTTAGTGAGCTGGGTGCTGGTGGCTCACACCTGTAATCCTAGCTATTCAGGAGGCTGAAATCTGAGGACTGTGGTTCAAAGCCAGCCCAGGCAGGAAAGTCCATGAGACTCTTATCGCCAATAAGCCACCAGGAAACCAGAAATGGCGCTATGGCTCAAGGGGTAGAGCATTCGCCTTGAGCTGAAGAGCACAGGGACAGCGCCCAAGCCCAGAGTTTAAGCCCCAAGACTGACAAAGAAAAAAAAGAAAATGTTAGTGAACATATGTTAGCTGCTATTTATTAACCATCTTATAGGTGTTCAGCATGCTACATGTGCTAAATCATTAAAATCTGGCCTTAATAACCCATTTATTTTTTGCCAGTCCTGGGGCTTGAACTCAGGGTATGGGCACTGTCCCTGAGGTTCTTTTCCTTGAACCACACTACTTATGGCTTTTCTGTTTATGTGGTACTGAGGAATTTAACTCGGGCTTCATGCATGCTAGGCAAGCACTCTACCACTAAGCCTCATTCCCAGCTTAAAAATCCACTTTTATCTATTTCAGTTTTCTCATTATTGAAATAGGCATAATAACTATATCTCCTAAGACTATTCCCGAATATTAAATATTATATACATGTATATATGACATATTACATATACATAACATATATATAATAACCAATAATCAAGTAGCTTGAGGACCTCTTGAGGCTCAGAGAAGTTATATCAGCTATAACAGGTCACATTGCTGCTAAATGGCCAAGCCAGGATTTAACCTTCAATCCTGTGTTTTGGTTACTACATGTGTCTTCTAGACTTTCCTCTCACCCTTCCCCACCCCTCCTAATGCTAGAGGTTGAATTTAGGGCCTTGCATTTGCCAGGTTAAACACTTTACCATGTGAGTTATACCCTCAGTCCCAAACTTGTCTTTCCCAGAAATAAATTCAAATCTAATCGCATCACAGGGAAATAAAAGCTCATAGATAAACATATGTAAGCAGTACCAAACAACCATCATCACTTTTCAATTCCAACAGCTTGTGTCTTGTGTCTTGTGGCCAAGACACAAGTGTGTCACTTGCTTGGGCCCAGTTGGATCCTAAAGAATGAAATTGGGAGGATGCCCAGGAGAATTGGAAGATGTCTAAGGTAGTCAAGCATTCTTGCACCTTCAATCCCCAAACTCAAAACAATTGAATCGAACTTGAGCTTAGTTCCTACAAACAGCCTGAAGCAATATCTACCTACAAACAAAGAAGTCCCAGATAAAACAGACCAGTAGAATGTACACTCTAGACTCTCTTTAATAATGGAAGCCTCTCCACAAACACTAAACAAGATAAAATCAGGTGAGAAACTGGAAGCAGCCAGGTGGGGTAGCTCCTGCCTGTAATCCTAGCTATTCAGGAGACTGAGGTCTGAGAATGGAAGTTCAAAGTTCAAAGCCAGCCTGGGCCGGGCACCGGTGGCTCAGGAGGCTGAGATCTGAGAATCCCAGTTCAAAGCCAGCTCAGACAGGAACATTGGTGAGACTCTCTTATTTATTTATTTTGGGTCTGGTTGTGGGGCCTGAACTCTGGGCCTGGGTGCTGTCCCTCAGCTCTTCAGCTCAAAGGCTAGCACTCTACCACTTGAGCCACAGTGCCACTTCCGGCTTTTTCCTTTTTGCTTATGTGGTGCTGAGGAATTGAACCCAGGGCCTCAAGCATGTAAGACAAGCGCTATACTACTGAGCCACCTTCCCAGCCCCATCCGTGGGACTCTTATCTCCAATAAACCACTAGAAAACCAGAAGTAGCACTGTGGTTCAAGCTCGCCTTGAGCTGAAGAGCACAGGTACAGCACCCAAGCCCAGAGTTCAAACCCCACAACCAACCAAAAAAAAAAAAAGCCTGGGCAGGAAAGACTGTGAGACTTTTATCTCCAATAAACCACTCAGAAAACCAGAGGTAGTGCTGTGGCTCAAGTGGTAGAGCGCTAGCCTTGAACTGAAGAGCTGAGGGACAGCAATCAGTCCCAGAATTCAAGCCTCACAACTGTCAGAGAGAGAGAGAGTGAGAGAGAGAGAGAGAGAGAGAGAGAGAGAAATGGAAGGAAACAGCAAAAGGCAGGGCCATATTGAAAGCAAACATCCATTATGATGCAGCAAAATGGAGATGAACCTAATTCCCCCTATTAACCCCAAATTCAAAGACTCCTGATTCTTTCTACAGGCACCTCTCCAATACTCCTATCATACTTCTACTACATCCCCCACTTCTAATTTCCAAACTTTTCTGAAGAGAAACATTACCTACTTTATGGCTCCAGAATAGTCAATAATGATGAACCACCATTGCAAGTTTAAGATTATAGATTACCAAAAATACAAGAAAACAAGTCATCAGAATTAAGAGCAGAAGCAACAGAGGGAAGCGCTGAGTGTGTTAAGTATATAAAATGCTTTTGTTGAAATGCACTGACTACTAAACTGGGCCCATGAATTAAAGCAGGAAAAACAATTTAGTATCCCTGTCTCCCAGCTGTGTTTGTCTTTGTTCTAAGCCATTCTTTTTACCAGTCAACTTAGAACCCAGGAAGGATAGGACTGACGATAGCATCTTTATAAGGAAGGATGGAAGGAACTGTCCCCAAGAATTCCTTCTCAGGATGTGCAACCAGGCAACAAAGACTCATTATCTTACCTGAGATAACAACTTCTCCATAACCCCTCCCAAAACAAGGACAGAAGTAATGATCTACCAGAACACATATCTATTCTGAACTGTTCAATAATTAAACTAAGCTCATACATACATGAGAACTGTATTTTCAACTCAGTTTTTCCACATGTAAAATTTCCCCCAAAGTGAGGTGCAAGTGGCTCAAACTTGTTATTCTAGCAGCTCAGGAGGCTGGTTCAAAGCCAGCCCAGGCAGCAAAATATGAGACACTTATCCCCAGTAAACTGCCAAAAAGCCATAAGTGGAGCTGTGACACAAATGACAGAGCATGAGCAAAAAAGCCCAGAGACAGCACCTAGGGAGATAAGAGTGAGCTGGTTAATGCTAACAATAGTATCTATAGAATTAGTGTTTGGGGCTGGGAAGTTGGCTCAGTGGTGGAGCGCTTGCCTTGCATGTATGAGGCCCTGGGTTCGATTCCTCAGCACCACATAACAGAAAAAAGCTGGAAGGGGCACTGTGGCTCAAGTGGTAGGGCACTAGCCTTGGGC